ACAGTTGATTCAATCTCCCATACTACCATATCACAAAGTCACTTGATTGAATCAAGATCTGGTGACTGAAACCAAGAAACTGGTTTGAGATTATTTTAGCTTTGTGACCCAGTAGAAGCAGCCGTCTCTGATGCTTGCTTCATAAAGGGATGGACATGGTCAGCAAATATTCATCCAAATGTTGCATTAAGAATTGAGACATTTCAGACCAGGCAACTTTTTCCAGTCTTTTGTTATCCAATTTATGTGATCCAATGTGAAGAGCAGCCTGTGTTTCTGCTGCTGTAGCTTGTCTGCTTCAAGGTTAAACGTGCTGGGCATTGAAAGATGCTCTTCTGCGTTACTTGGTCGTAAAAGTGGTTATGTGAGTTACTTTTGACTTCATATTAGCTTAAAGCAGTCTGTCATTTCATGACATCAGCAAGGCAGTTCCTCACAGAACTGCTGCTCACTGGATATTTTCACTTTTCTGGACCATCCTTGGTAAACCCTAGAGATGGTTGTGTAGGAAAATCCCAGTAGATCAGTAGTTTCTGAAATGCCTAAATGACCTTTCTTTCTTCATTATGATGGTCATTTACAACTTCAGCAGGTCATCTTGGCGATCTATACATGCCTAAGTGCACAGTGTTGCTGTCATGTGCTTGACTGATTGGATATATACATTAACAAGGAATTGAACAGGTGTACCTAATATACTGGTAAATCAATGTAAAACTTCTTTTAGCATTTGCTACTTAACCCATTCCCAGCCGCCAGGCTCACATAATTATAGGCTCAGTATAGGGGATGCCCCAAACTACCAAACCCATGAATCCCAAAGACTTTACTGATACAGATGAAACAACAAGATACTTTTAGCACAATTTATTTAATCAGAGAGAACCATGATGACAGTCATACACATTCACCCGATATAACATTAACATCTAGCGTGAAATGCAGGGCCCTGATAAAAAGTGAAACTGCATCAATGGAATCAAATAAAGGTTATCCAAGGCCACTTTAGAAGACTTATATATTTATTTTAAGCATCTAGCTCGTTACACATTTGATCTCATACACTTTCTAAAATACATCTTTCTGTCTTAAAAAAATAAACTTCAAATCTTATGAAATATAGCGTTCAAATCCCTCTCTAAGTACAGGCCTTATCAAAAATAAAAGTCAATCCATGCACATATGGCACTGTTATGTTTATATTTTACCATTTCTCACCACTTCAAACCAACTACAGAAGTGTACATACAGACCCCCCCAAAAAACTATAATGCTGAAAATGAAGGCTTCCTCAAACTAAGTACTATACATGAAAAACCATGATTTAAAAGAGTTCAGATTCAAATGCAAGGACATACCATAAACACCACAACAAGGTGAATATAGTGTAATATCTTACTGACCAAACGGTGTATAACATTAACATAAATCAACAAGTCAAGGCAGAAATCAACACCAAAATCCCACCTTGAATAAATCATTTTTTTAGATTGTCATTCAAAATCCAGAGAACGTGTTTCCTACCCTCAAACTGTTAGACACAGTGGGGTTTCTTGTAATTCACAGTAGTAAGACAAGAATAGATACGACTGAAAACAGGCAAATTATTCAAGTCTTTTAAGCCTTTTTAAAGTTTCATTTGTGCTTCCAGTCATCCACATGAAAACCCACAGCAACAGTGCCATGATAGAATGACTGAATTTGGCATAGTTAGATTTTTTTAGGGTCATCCATAATGTATCTCCTAATGACTATCAACATCTATTATTTGCAGGAGATTTATTATACCTATGCAAGCATGACAATAAGAGACCCATATAGTTTTATATCACAGTCTGATAACGCTACACGAAATGAAGATGATCACTGATTATTGAGTGTTTCTGGGTGATAGGCCACAGTTTGGCTCATGGGTTCACAAACATGCTAGAGACGATGGAAAGGTTATCGACATTTTACGTGTGAATACTCACATAGCCCAAAATTGGTGTTTACTTGTACAAAGTATTGACAACCTCATCTGTATAAGGCAAAATAAATAAATAAAGCTGTTAACTGGGAGCCTCATCACCACCATCAACAACAGCTTAAAAGACTCTTTTTATGTTTGACTACATTTCTGTAATTGGTGCAGCTCTTGTCCACAGGTTTAGTCTCGCTTTGTTCCAAAGATCTGGAGGAAAAAGGAGAAGATATAGATGATATCCAGGTAGATGTTGAGAGTGGCGAAGACGTATTCTTCTGGACTCATGGTGTACCGCTTGTTCCCCATAAGCAGTTGGGTATCAAATGCCAAAAACTGCAACACATATTAATAATAATTTTAAAAAAGCAAAAACAAATAACTCAACTTTTATATTGTTCGTAGGCACCTACTGCATGTGTTCTATTAAATGTGACTGGGCCTATTAGTAATAGCTCATCTGTATTTATATGCTCACCATAGTAAACAGTATAGCTCCCAACACAGCATAGACACCATCCAGCCAGGGTACCTGAATGACACATACTCATTTATTAGTTGTGATTCCATTTACTAATTTACAACAAGCAATCAGCTGAAATACTATTATATTTTATTATATGTTCTCAATTTGGAGTTGAGTCTGTATTAGTTTGAAAACATGTACTCATTTATTCATTTTTACTATTTTAAATACTGTAGATTTAAGCAAAAGCAAAACAACAAGCAGCCCCATTTGACTACTGTATTAAACTGCTAATTATTAGTTATTTATTGTTTTTTAAGACACAATGGTTAGGCAGTCTAAAAATACGTCGAGAAGATTTTTTTACTAGAGTCAAAGGATGTCTGAGAGTTAGCTATACTGCTGAAAATAGCAGGTATCTACGTCATGCAGAAGGGTGAGGACATTTTAACAGTGTGCAAAACCCCTGTCAAAGCAAAAGGTGCTTTAAAGAATCTAAAATGTGAAACTATTTTTTCCACGTGGTTCCACGTGTTTGTAATCTCTTCAGTAGATTACTGTTCTACATGACAGAAAATAATAACAACTGAAAAAACCTTAAATGAGAAGTTGTGTCCAAATTTGTGTCTGGTGTCTTAAATCCCGGCTGTTCTGGTACAATCAGCTAACTTGTGTTTACCTGACAGAAAAATGATGCGATTATTGGATTAGTTTGATCACACTTACATATTGGAAAGGGAGGACAAGGGCCAGCACCAGGCCAGAGATAAACATCACCGTGCAGAAGACAAAAAGCACACCTTGGTATGAGGTCACATCAAACTGCAAAGAAGAAAGCACATCAAACCAGACATATGTAAGTCAACATGTAGGAAAAAGTGATTCAGGGAAGTTAGATTCACAAGTGCACAGAAAGAAGAACATTTTGGTTTTCTCACCTTGGTTTGAAAGCTAAAGACTGTGACCAGGAGACAGACTGCTGCTGTAATGCCCAGACACATCACCACTGACTTGGTGTTATAAAAGCTGTTAAAACAGCAAAC